CTGGGCCATTGTTCCATTGTCCCAGCCTCCTCTCCCAGGTCATCTGCCCCCACATTACACCCACCAGCCTGTCCTTATACCAGTCTCCAGTGAGTCTCCATTGCACAGATTCTCCCTGCTCAAAAGCTTTCCACCTTCAACATCAAATCCAACCTTTAGGCACATACAGTGCCTTGCTCCTTTTTCATCCAAGCTCCTCAACCCCTCCAATCTTTCTGTGGCAGGAAAGGTACTTATATGTTCCTGGACCCCATTCTTGACTCCTCCCTCTCCCCCACACCCCACCTTCAGCCAGTCACCAATTATGTTGGGGTTATCCTCACAATTGCTTCTAGGGACACCTACTCCTTTCCTTCCCCACTGCCACCTCCCTGATCCCAGCTGTCATCATCTCATGTGAACACTATCTATCACATTCTGGCCCTCCAGGCTAGCCTCCCACAGCAGCCAGGATTGTCCATGAAAATATTCACAGAACCATGTCACTTCTCTGCTTAAATCCTCCCAGTGGGATCCCACTGTACTTTCAGTAAAGTCCAGATGCTTGTCTGGCCTGCAGGGCCCTGTAGTCTGGCCTGCCCCCCCAACCATGACTCCCTTTCCTGTTCACCCTGCAAGCCCCACGCACCTCCTTCTGCTCCTGGAGTTGCCATGCTGCCTGCTGCCTCGGAGCCACCATCTCCTCTATTTCTGTTGTCTGCAATGCTCTTCCCCACATTCTCTGCCTTAGGGAGAGTGGAACTGCTGTGTAAATGCCACCTCCTCACATGACTTCTGCACCACGCCACCCTCCATCTTACATTGGTATCATCCTCTTCCTATTTTTGAAAGCACTTTTCCAAACTTTAATTACATATTTATCTGATAGTTTAAAAAAAAACTGTTTTCCCCCAAAAGACTGTAAGCTCTACAGGGGGAGAAAGAACATCTTTGTTTTGCTTTTAAAAAAAATGTCAGCTTTACTGAGGTATAATTGACTGTTTTGCTTTTAACCACTGTATTCTCTGAGCCTAGCAATGACCTGCGCATAATAGTGTTTATCGGATGTTTACTGACTGAGTAAAGGAACAGCAGGGTATTTTTCACTAATTCTGGTCTTCCCCTGACTGTGGACTCCTTGAGGGCAGGTTTCATATCTGGCTCATCTCTGGGTTCTTGGCCTCCAACCCAGGTCTTGGCACTAAGGGACATGTAGGAAATGTTTGAATTGAAGGAAATGGGGAAGTGCTGGCCCACCTTCAGCCAGGAACTGATGGGTCACAAGGAAACTGATGCATTGGTGACTATCAAGAACAGACTCAAGGGCTGTTGGGTTTGGCCTGTGTGCTGTGAGGGGATCCTGGTGTCCCTGAGTGCCAGGGAGTTGCTTTCTGCTGTCCACCAGAGGATGGGGGCATTTCAAAGCTCTAAGAAAGCTCATAGCAAAATAGAGCAAAAACTGTGAGGACAGGTCTGGGTTTGAATCCTAACTCCACCGCTCACATGCTGTGTGACGTGGGCAAGGTGACTTCACTTCTCTGAGCTCCAATTTATCAATAAAATGGGAATGACAACAGAACAGACCTTGCCTCCACAGACTGTCATGAAGACTAGAAATAATGTACTGGCTAGCACAGCATATGGCAACTAGCTCAGAATAGCAGTGATGGAGCAGCTGCTGTTGATGACAGTGATGACGGTGATGATGGAGAAGAAATATTTTAAGTTCCCGGATGCTGGTTGCTCCTAAGCAGAACATGGGGTGGTTACAGCTTGACCTTGACAGAGGGTCGCAGGAGAAGCAGTTCTGAGGGCGGAGTTGTGTCAACAGGAAATGAAGTCTTCAGCCCAGAAGCCAGGAAGGTGGGGAAGAGGTGGGCAAGCAGTGTCCAGGGTGGGCCAGATTCGAGAGTATTTGAGGCCCATTGGAGGATCCGATGGTCCTGCAGCAGGACCAGCCAGGCAGCCCTTTGTTGGTGTGTCTGTCTGCCACCCTCACTGTGTTTTCCTACGTGTTGAGGTCTCTAAGCCAGCCTTCCGTGACCCCCTGGAGGCTGCTCTGTCCTGGACTCCGTGGAAGGCCGACATGCTAAGACGCAGAGGGAGGTTACTGGCAATGGATCGGGAGTTCATCTCCTGATCCGGCCCTTGACTCACAGTGTTGCTTGTAACATGGTCTTCCTATCTTCTGCCAAGTTGGGGGTCTAAGGGAACTCTCTCAGCTCCCACACACTACAGACGTACAGATGAGGCAGTGCTTGTGGGGAAAGACCCTTTGGGTCCCCATGCAGAGTAGGGATGTGGCAGGGGGCTGAGTGGAGAGGTCACCAGAGACAGTGGGAGTCCAGAGTGAAGCTGGGGAACAGAGCCACAGAGAAGGTCCCCAGGGGCAACTGAGAGGAAGAGACCATGGCTGGGGGCCCTGAAGGGTGAAGAACCCTGCTCTGCTGTCCCCGGTGGGCTGGCTGCTCCCCCCACCACTACCCGCCAGGCCCCCGGGGGACCTCGCTCTAATAATGTATTTGATCGACTCGCCGGCCGCGTACAAGCGATTATTGTCTTGTCGGGAGTCAAACGTATCGATCCGGTGAGAAATATGAGCAGAGCAATGGGGCCCGCGTGTCAGTTACCAGCCCCGCTGGCCCTGGGGAGCCCCCTACGTCTCCTTTAATTACCGCTCAGCCCTGAGCCTAGCCTGGCCTCCTCTGCACTGCCTCCCTCCCAGGCTCCCCACACCCCAAGTGGCCCCCGCTGCTCCCCAGCTCCCATGACTTACCTACCTTGTGCAACATGGCTTGAGGCCTCTTCTCCAACTGAGAAGCTACCATATCCCCTTCCTGAGCTTCCCCATTCGTCCTACACACCCACTGTGCCCCCAAACTCTGCCCCGCTGCCCTTTTCTTGGGCAGGCAGAAATCTCAGGCCCATTCTCCTTCAAGATTTCCCGATTCCAGCATAGGGACTCAGTTCTGGTCTGCCTAAGGTGATAATAGCAGAGCCAGCATGGGAAGCAAGGTGGGGGAGTCGGAGGCAATTTCATCCCGTGGGGGAGCAGGTAAAACTTTCCCCCGCTCCCTCACTCATCTGCAGACCTGGAAAGGCAGCTCCAGAAATGGGCTGCATCTCTCCTTGCTCACATAAAGGGCTGACACCAGGTCATGTCCAAAAACATGCTCCTGACATGGAGGATGTTGACTATGTCTGGGGTAGGGCATGGGGATGGCGTGGTGGGTTTGTGGCTCCCCATAATATCCCTGTTGTCCTAATTTCCAAGCCCCCTAAAACGTAAGTCCTAAGTCAAAACAACTTACTGGGCCAATGCAGTTTCAAGACAAGTCTCCTGCCACCAGATTGTCTGAAAAACCCTCATGTATAGAAATCCTGCATCTGAGAGAGAGAGAGAGATGGGCCAGGAGGCAGGAGGTGTGAGCTGGAGCCCTGTTAATGTTGTGTGGTCCCTGGATCTCAGTGAAATGGCCTTTACGATATGAGATGTTGTGGAGGGTAGATGACTGGGAACTGTCTCTTCTGTATGCAGATATAAAGACCGATGGTCATTTCCATGAAGTGGGCCTGCCTGCCTGGGTGGGCCTCATGAAGGTCTGTCTGCATGTGTGTGATATCCTGCACGAGTGTGCCTAGTGTGAGTATAGGCACACATGGCCACGAGGCATTCCTGGACACACTGTAGATGTGTTCTTGTGCCTGTGTGTCCACCTGGGGGAGCAGAGGGGGTGTCCATATGGGGAGTGACTGGTGGTGGGTAGAGAAGGTTAGAGTTGGTGCCTGTGCTCACAGAGGAATGTTCCCGTGTGTCTGCGTGTGCACGCGTGTGTGTGAAATGCTGGGGTCCATGTGTAGAACTACTTGAGTGTATGTATGTGTCTGGGTGGTTCCAGGCGTTCCTGTACGCGTGTGTGGCTTAGTAGGGTCTCCCAATGTAAGCGCAGAGTCCTGCGGGACAGGGGCCAGCCGGCGGGCTGTTTGGAGGCACCAGGCAGCCGGACAGCCTCGGACGGGGCGCCGGGAAGAGTAAGAGGGCAGCAGGCTCAGCCGCGCCTTTGTCTGCGCGGCCTGGCGCCGGGCGTCCTGCGCCTTTGTGTGACCCTCGCAGGTGTGCACGCGGGGCTAGAGGGGGGTGGCGGGAAAGGGAATGGAGGGAGGGACTCCTTCCTCCGCTGCCGGCCCCGCCCTCCGGCCTATTGACTGGGCGCTTCCTCCCTCTGGCGGGCGCGGAGGGAAGAGCCGGGCCGGGAGCGCCGTAGCGCGGAGGGTCCGCTGGCAGCTAGGCGACCCGGTGCTCCCCTCCACCGGAGCCACGTTGAGCGCGTACATCTGTCCTCGGGCCGACTTCTTGCCGCTCCCGGCCAAGGCGCCGACCGGTCGCCCGCACTGCCGCTGCCCACGGGCAACGCGTCTTTTCACTGGTGGGCCCGGACGTCTCATCTGCAGACAGATGAGGGGCTGGGTCTTCCCTCCCCAAAGCCAAGGCCTCCTCCTGCCTCTCTTGAAGGCTTTGCGTCTTGGCTCTAGGCCCTTGGGAAAGCCACCTCACTTCTCTAGTCTTGTCTTCTCATCTGTAAAATGGGACAAATAGTGATCACATCAAGCGATGACATCTGTCAAGTGTGAAGTGCAGGGCCTGGCATTGGGAAAGAGCCCCCAGAACTTCTAGCCAGTGTTTTAGGGTTGGTGTTGTTATGGGCTCACCTTGTCACCTAGGCCCCCATGCCCTGTGCCAGGTCAGCCCTGGTGGAGGTGGCAGGAGAGCTGGGGCAGCTGCAGGTGCCTCCTGGAGGGTCCAGCTATGGGAGTCAGCTCTTGCCGCCTGTGCTCTGCCACACTGCCCCCACTTCCCAAACACACACGATTTGGGATCTGCTGCCTGCTGGGGTGGGCCTTTGGGCCAGGGTATTTTCCCTTCTGAAGGAGGCGGACCCTGTGGTTTCCTCCCTGGGTAACTTCCGGCAAAGAGGGTTTGGCCCCCCCAGAGAGGGCGGGGAGATGACACAGTTGTTCCCCCAGCCCTGCGGGGCGGGCAGCATGGTTCACTCCAGCATGGGGGCTCCAGGTAAGGGGCCAGGGCCGGCACCACTTCCAGAAGCTCAGGCAGCAATTTGGGGTTTTTCCTGCTGTGCCTGGACCTCCTCCTTAGCTGTTGTCTTTGCCCCTTTTGCTCTGTACCTTAGCTGCTCCCTGCTTCCCACTCTGGGTTGTGCCCCCAGCAACTCTTTCCCCTCCCCTTCCACATCAGACACCTGGGGGCTTCCGTTTCTCCCCATCTCTGCTGCCCTGTTCTGAGGGCTCTGTGGGAGGGAGATGGAGCCCGGTGTTGGTAGCAGGCTCTTACACAGAGGGCCAGTGGGTGGGCAATGTGAGTGCCCCCTGGGTGGGGGCAGCAAAGAGATTGGAAGACTGAGTTGCTTAACTTTTGAATGTGTGCACGTCTGTATTCGTGTATGTGAGCGGTAGTTCTGTGTCTCCTGAGTGTGACTGTGTGTGGCATCATGAGGGTAGTCTTGGCAATTATTTCTTGGCTCACTTCCTCACTTCATTGGCTTCAGGTGTCACCTCCTCCTGGAGGCTTTCCTTGAACTTCCAATCTAAACTGGCAACCAATCCCACTGTCTTGGGTCCCCTCACCCTGCTTAGTCTTTTCTTTATGGCACCTATCACTGCCTAAAAGTTCATTATACATCTGTGTGTGTATTAACTGCCTCCAACTACCAAATGTCAGTTGATTGAGTGGACATTGTGCTCCAGGCACTATACAAGGTGACGTGTATTTGTTGGCTCATCTGGTCTGCTGTGTGTATCTGCATAATGATAGTTCTCTCTCAGTAGTGCTGATGGGAGAGTTAAATGAGGTAATGTGTGTAAATGTTTAACACGGAGTGCCTGGAACACGGCATCAGTACTTTGTGCTCATTTCATTTGCGGTTGTATAGATGTGACTGTGGGTATGTCACATTTGTGGGTGTGTGCAGGGATGAGTCTTGGTTTGGCATGTGCCGTCCTACGTGAATCTGTATGCAGGCATCCCTGTGACCCTTCAGCAACATGTATTTATCAAGCAGTTCTGGGCTGGGTATGCTGGAAATACAACCAAAAAAGGCAGCTTCAGGTCTGTTGTCCTGGAAACCCCAGTCCTGTGGGGGAGACAGACCTGTCCCCAGACAGTGGAGGGAGCACAGGCGACGCAGTCAGGCCTGGGGCGCAGGGGACCATGGGAGCCCAGAAGACCTGCCCAAGGCAGCCGGTGGGGTGCCGGAGAGGGCTGCCTGGAGGAGGGGATGTCTGGGCTGAGATGTGAAGGATGAGTGAGTTTGAGCAAGCCAAGGAGGTAAGGGGGAGTTGAGATGGAAGAATACTACTTGCAGGATGGCATGTGCTTAGTTACTGAGGTGTCTGTATGTGCAGTGGTGTCTGTGTGTATACACATACAGTGTAGACACAGAGATATGGGGTGTCTGTGCACGCATGTCATCTGTTCCACAGTGACTTGTCCCTGTCTGGGGTTGAATGTGGCGTTGTATGTGCTCACACTGGGTTAGACCCCTTACTTGGAATTTCTCACAGACCTGGTCTGCCTTGGAGGCCTGCCCTGGGTTCCCCTGCCTTGACATGAATTAAAATTTCTGTGGCTTTGGGCAGGTCATGTGTTCTTCCTGGTCCCAGCTCCACATCTGTGAACTGGTTCTAGGGGTCCACCCTGGCCACCTCCCAGGATGGGGAGACTCTGGGCATGTGAGCATGTGCATGTCTGTGTGAGTGACCTGGGTGTGTGTGTTTATGCACGTCTGTGTCTATCTGTATGTCTGTGTGTGGCTCTGGGGTATGAGTGTGTGTAAGCACAGGTGTGCATACACGTGTCTGGATGTGTGTTTTGCATATCTACTGGTATCATTGTGTGTGGGCATGTGTCTTCATCTGCAAACGTTCCCGTCCAGGATCTGTGCACACCTGTCCCTGTGTGTTTGCATGGTCTCCTTCCATGTCTGGGGTGCTGCCTGTCTGTAGCTGTGGTGTGTGCAATGTGGCAGCTCTTGCCTGTTGTCAGCACAGCTGTGGGGCTACCTCTCTTGTTGTGTCTGCCGCCCATATCTCCATCCCTCCCTCCTGACAGTTCACAAGTGTTTACTCCCTTGTGGCCACCCAGGGACAGATGTGGGGCAGGGAGGTGTGAGGTGCTGCTCCTGCGGAGGCTGGGACTGGGCCAGCTGGGCCTGCAGAGGTTCCCGGCAGCACAGACCCTGCCCACAGGGGCTCCCAGGCCACAGCCTTGATTGAAGCGGGCTGTGGAGGTAGGGGACCCAAGGGACAGGCCAAGCAGGGCCAGGAGGGGTGAGGGGCAGCCCTTGGGCCCTCTATATTTAGCCCAATTTTCGGTAAGTGCTAACGAGAAGCTGGCCCAAGTCTGCTAAAACTGGCTGGGGGAAATGCAGAGGAGAAGTGAAAGTCCGGGGAGGGAGGGGCAAGGGAGGGGTGTGGAGGGTGGAGGTGACCCAGGGTCCCAGGGTCCCAGGCTGGGGCAGTCGGGCAAGCGACTGTGAGCCCAGGGGCATGTGCAGCCCTGGGAGGGTCTGATCCAGGATGGTGGGATTCACCCGGCCTTGCAGGGTTCTCCACTGCTCTTCCCTGCCCAGTTTCCTGGGAAGTTATACACTGTTTGGGATGGGAGAAGGGCGAGGGACAACCAAGCTTTCTAAGCAAGTGAGGCTTTAAGAGGGACTTCCAAAGGTGCTGTGGGCTGGAGCATATTAGGATCACCTGGGTAGACTTTTAAAAATCTGATGCCCGGGTCTCACCCTGTCCCAGTGAAACCAGAGTGTCTGGGATAGGAATAAGCGTCAATATTTCTCTGGGGTCAATAGAGGGGGCCCCGAGAGTGCTGCCTAGGACCAGCCGAGGCAGTGGCAGAGGCAGCGCTGAGACGGAGGCAACCGAGGCCCTCAAGTCCCCACAGAAGCATCACTTGGCTTTGGGTGCATGGTGGAAATGGAGTCCCCTCTTCATCTCTGGTGGGGGTGATTGGATGAGACTCTTTTCTCAGATTGGGCTCTGGCAGGGGAGAAGGAAAGAGTGAGAGGCCTGGTGAGGGGCAACTCCGGGCCGTTGGCCACTGTGGGTCTGGCCAGGTGCTGCAAAGTGCACAGGCTATGTGTGGGGGGTGTGGGGGGACGCAGGGAGAATACGGAGACAGAGTGGTGGAAATTTCCCCTCAAACTACTTTTGCCTCTCCTGCCACTCTCCTTGCTTACAGGATATTACCTTAATGGTTTAGGGATTGGGGCTGAGGGTTGAGGTGTCAGGTGACAGCAGGGAGAGGGGCTTGTTCAGGTCAGGACTAGGTAGGGGATTCTTCATATGTTCATTTGTTTCAAAGAAACTGTCCAGTCTGTGCAGTAATGACTCCAGCCTGGGCCCTAGGGAGCCCCTGACTCTCTCTGAGAGAGTCACTGCCCAGAAGGTCAGGATGTGTTAGGGAGGGCAAGGGGAGCCCAGAGGGAGAGGCACTGACCACTGGGCAGTCAGGGAGGGCATCACGGAGGAGGTGCCATGTGAGCTGGGGCCTTACAGAGGAGCGGGAGTTTGCTAGTAGGGAAGGAAAAGGTCACCCCAGGTGGAGAAAAGCAAAGGCCAAGGCCCGGAGAAGTGAGATCAGGGCCTTGAGGCCTCCCTTGTTCATTCCACCCACATGTCCTGTGCTGGGCAGCACTGGGACCCAAGATGAGTCAGACCTGCCCTCGAGGGGTTCCTGGTCTGCTGGGGGAGACATGCTGGGAGACACACGGCCTCTAGGACAGTGGGAGGTAAGATGCCTGGCCAGGGGGAGCCAGGATGGAGGGAGCCGAGAGAGACCTGTGGGAGCATCAGGGGTGACTTCATAGAGGACAGAGCCTTTGCTGGGTCCCAAAAGATGAGTAGGAGGTCACCTGGTGAACAGAGTGGGGCACCAGATTTTACCAGAGGGACCAGCCCATGCCAAGGCCTCAGGAAACATTTGCTAAATGGCAGAGACCACAGGACAGCTGCAAGAACAAGTAAAAGAGCTTCAGGGAAGGACTTTCAGCAAACATAACCCATTCTTCTGAGTTGGGTGATGCTGGGGACCCAGCAGTGAGTCAGACCAGGCCTGTCCCCTAGTCTGATGGGAAAGGACGGGGACACACAGCAACAGCCCTGCCGGCTCAGGGTTAGGACAGCGAGAGGGCATGACAGTGGGAAGCTGTGTTTGTTTGCTGGAGTTGCCGTAACCAAGTGCCACAGACTGGGTGGCTTAAACAACAGAAATTAATTTTCTTGCAATTCTGGAAGAGGGAAGTCCAGGGTCAAGGTGTCAGCAGGGTTGGTATCTTCTGAGACCTCCCACCTTGGCTTGGGTTGGCTGTCTTCTCCCTGTGCCTTCACATGGTCTTCCCTTCATGTGCCTCTGTCCCAATCTCCTCTTAATAAGGACACCAGTCATAGTGAATCAGGGCCTACTCTAATAGCTCATTTAACTTGATTACCTCCTTGAAGACCATGTCTCTGAATAGTCACATTCTGAGGCCCTGGGGGTTGGGACTTCAGCATAGGAGTATTGGAGGACACAGCTCAGCCTGAAACAGACCTCGGAGGAGCACCAATTCTCTGGGGCGGAGGTGAGGTCAGAGGCTGCCCTGGTCTGTGGGCAGGAGAGGCATTCACCACTTAGTCAGGGAGTAGGGGCACAGCAAGCTATGGTGGCCCCGTCAAACAGAGCCCCAAGCAGAGGGAGACACCTGACATGGTCCAAGGGCAGGATGCTTGAGTGGCAGGAGACGGGCAGTGGGCGGTTTGGGACCACACCCCTCAGGCCAGGTCAGGGGGCCTGGGCTCATACTGGGGAGATGGGAAGCCACGGGAGGATTCAGAGAGTGCTGGGTGTGGGAAGGCTCTCCATGGGGCAACGCGGACACCAGCTGGAGGGACAGGCTGGGGAGAGGCCTGGGGCAGGGGTTTTGGGGGTGCTGGGCCAAGTGGAATTCAGGGCCATTAGAGTTAGTGTTACATGGAGCAGGGCCAAGGTCTGGGTGAATTAGAGGCCAGGAGCAGGCAGGACTCCTGCCTTTGATGCCCCAGAGTCAGGAGCCTCATTGCCTGGTACCCTTTGCATCCTGTGTCTCTCAGGGTCATTAGCCACTCTGTGCCCCAGCCCCAGTGCCCGGAAACAGGCTTGGGCACCTGCTCCCCACCCCACCCGCACCAGCCTACGCCTTAACAGACTATGTGCTGGCTTATCACTAGTGTTTTTTTAGCCTTGAAATGTTCTCTCTTTTCTTTGTGAAAACACAATACAGTAAAATGCTCAAATTTTAAGTGTTAAGCTTAATAAATTTTTACATATGTGTAGACCATGTAGCCACCAAACAGATCAAGATTGAGAACATTTCTAACTCTCTGTAGGCTAGGCTTCCTTACGCCCATTCCCAGTACCCCAAAACTATACCCACTAATCTGATCTTGATCATCTTATGTTATCTTGCCTATTTCTGAGCTTTGTGTAATTGAAGTCCTACTGCCTGTTGGATTTTGTGTCCGATGCCTTTCCCTCGGCATCCTGTCTGTGAGATTCAGTGGGGTGAAGGACTGCGATGGCAGGAATTTGTTCTTTTCTTTGCCATGGAATATTTCATTGTATGGACATACCACAGTGTGTTGATCTGTTTCCCCCATTGATGGCTTTGGAGTTATTTCCAAATCAGGGCTGTTAAAAAGGGCTGCTGGGAACTTGTGTGCGCATGAACCTTGGTTGGGGTGATTTTCTCGGGTAGATGACCCAGAATGGATGGGCCAGATCTTAGGGGCGGGATCCCTCTTCAGGCTTCCTGAAATGTGCTTGTATTGATTTACACTCCCACCAGCAGCATGTGACCTGGCTTTTTAATCAGGAATTTTAAGCTGGAGTGGCATTTCATGTCAAGTAATCCTCAATCGCAAAATTCCTGGATGTTTTTTCTTCAGTTGCTAAGGATGTCCAAGCTCTCTCCTCTGCGGGCCTTAATATCTTGGGTGCAGAGCACACTAGAATTGGACAGCTTCTTTGACAGGGTGGGGTCATGGTTTAGGCTGGGATTTGGAGTGAGTTGTGGCAGTTCCTTTATGGTCAGAGTCAAGGTCATGAATAAGGTCTGAAGCCAGATGAGAGTCAAGGTCAGATGAAGGACTTAGACCCTCTGGATGGGAGAAGGGATTCGGGGTGGGTGAGGGGATTGAGAATGGGTTGGACAGAAGCCCAGATTTTACCTGGGGGTCTAGAACCAGGAAGGGCTGGGTTCAAGTCAGTGTCAGGGCAGTTTGGGTTGGTGTGGCTGTTGGAGATGAGGTGGGTGGTAGTCACAACTGGGCTCCATTAGACTGCAGCAGTCCTGATGGAAAGCGGGAACCCCGGAGTCATGATGCCTGGGGGTTCAATCAGGGCACCTCTGCCGTCTCACACTGCTCTTGGGGAGATGACACCCCACTTTGAGCCTCGCTTTCCTCCTCTATAAAATGGGGATACTAGTACCAACTGCTAACGTAAGCTCTGAATCATACTTAGCACTGTGCTCGACTCTGGTAAGAGCTTGTCCTTCTGTCAGCAGCATCAGAGCGCTGTGAGGACAGGGCATTTGTCTCTATTGCTTTGTGTCTCCTGGTGCAAGCTTGCTTCCCTGCCACCTTCCTTTGGGCACATCCTCTCATTTCCTGGGTCTCTGGGACCATAGAATAGGACTGTATTTGCCAGGGTGGGGTGACTAGGTTGGATTTGCGTGTGCAGTTAGGTTTCAAGGCTGAAATCCCAGCTGAGGTCTGGGATGAAGTTGGAGTACCAGACCAGAGTGGGTCAGCTAGGCCTTTGTGTGAGCATAAGAAGGGAGGCTGGTGGGGAGTGAGGTGCGGACAGGAAAGTGGTGGGCCTGGGGGAGGGAGCCAGAGGGCGGCTGAATCACACTGGGAGATCTGGAGACTCGCTCTTCTGGGGATGCTGCAGTCCCTTCACATCCCCCAGGCCCCACTCAGAGTGGAAAACATGCCTCACCCTACACCTGGCGAGGCAGGACAGGCGCCTGGGCGACATGCACAGGGAGGCCCAGGGCTGACTCTCTGCTTTGTAACATCTTCACCCTCCTCCCAGGGGGCCAAAGCCTTCTCAGGAGCCCACTGTTTACCTCCCCTCCTGCCCCAGGCCCTCATGGGGTGACCCTTCCTGTGACACCATCTGGAGGGGTGAAAAAGATGAGGCAAGGTCTCCAAGGCCTGAAGGCCTCTTTCTTGTCCTGCCAGAGGAGGGCAGAGGCCCAGAATAGAGGGCATGACTCCAGGAAAAAGACAAGATGGCAGGGGGTGAAGAGAGTCTTGGAGGAGGCTGGGGTAGTGCCGGAGGAGGGCCTAAGGGTCCTCCTGGCTGCCCCTCCCTCACCCCACTTGTATCCCTCCTCTATCTGCAGAAATAAGGATGTCTAAGCCCTTGGAGGCCGAGAAGCAAGGTCTGGACTCCCCTTCAGAGCACACAGGTGGGTGGGGAAGGGAGCAGGGGGGCAGAGGGTCACTGGGAGCAGCGGGCAGGTGTGGGAGGGGAGCTGCAGGGGGCGGGGGTGACAGTCAGACCTTTCCCTCTTGTTGCAGACACCGAAAGAAATGGACCAGACACTAACCATCAGGTCAGGACTGAGTGGCTGGGCAAGGGTGGGAAGGGGGAGGAGGAAGAGGAGGGGACTCTGTGGGGGAGGAGCGGGGTGTCAGAAGCTGCTTCATCTCGCCCTTCCCATCCACCACTCCACCTTTCTCTTCACAGAACCCCCAGAACAAGACCTCCCCATTCTCTGTGTCCCCAGCTGGCCCCGGCACCAAGGTAAGCACCTGTCAGAACAACCAGGGCAGGGAAACAGGGAGAGGTGTCCTGTGAATGGTGGTGTTTGGTGGGTGGGAGAGGGTCCCACAGGCCTGCCCTGGGCCCAGGGCCTGAGGAGGCATGGAGCCCTGGTACCTTGCTGACAAAGCTCCTCCCTCCCCTTCTCACCCCTGGGCTCCCGCCCCAGGCCTGTGACTCACCCAGGCTCCTTCCCCTTCCCTGGGGGGGTGGGGGTGGCCAGGGAAATCCCCCCCAGAGCCCCAGGGCGATGAACAACAGGAAGCCAAGGGCCCCACCCCCATCCCAACTTCCCTGACGGGGACCTGCCCCACCCCCTCGCCCCCCAAGACACATACTCAGGGGCCAGCCCATGGAGGGAAGCTGGGAGCAGAGGCTAGTTAAGGGATGCCATGGAGAGGACCAGGGGGAGGTGGGAAACAGCCAGACAGAGCAAATCCCAAATCCAGATGGGGCCCTACTGCTGGGCACTGCTGGGCTTCCTGGGGTGTGTGGGGCTCAAGTCTCTGTCCTCTAGCCTGGTGTGGGCAGCTGGCAGGTCCAGAGGACCGAAAGCAGCATGGAGGACAGGGACAGAGGGGGCATGGGCCAGACTCGGACCCTGACCAAAGGTGGTAGAGGGATGGGGTGGGGGGCTGGGAACTGCTCTGTGACCATGGGAAAATCACTTCCGCCCTCTGGGCTTCTCAGTTTCCTCTTGTCTAACATGGTGGGTGCAGTCAGATTGGATAGCCTCTGAGGTCCCTTCCACAGCTGGTGCACTCTGATCCTGCTTAGTGTTTGGGTGTCTTGTCTCCAGCGTGTAGGACAGGGCCCAGGGGAGAAGGGCTTCAGCTCTGACCTCTTTCCCTCTGATCTCAGGCTTGGTTCTGGCCTTGACCTTGGAGCAGAGGCCATCCCTACCCCTCCATCCTCAGCTGAATCCTGGCAGCCTTTGCTTGCCCCACAGCAGCCCTGCTTCTTCCTGGGGAGGCCAGTGGGGCCCAGGGAAAGAAGGGCTCTCACTCCCCTTCCCTGGCCTCCCTGGCCTGGGTCCTGGTTCCCAGGAAAGCCCGAGGCAGGCAGGGTAGTGGCCTCTGACTTGCGTCTCAGTCCACGTCTTAGCCTGTCCCTCTCTGCCTCAGCCTCTCCGCCTCACACTGCCTCCTCTTTGTCAGCCTCTCCACATGCTCCCACCCCAATTTCAGACACATCCACACATCGCCCTACAATTATGTACAGTATAACTATGTTAATTGCCTGAATTTTAAAAATTATTTCATTACGGAAAGTGTGAAACAGATGTAAAAGGAGAAAGAATACAATGTTATGAAAATAACCCCCCCAAGTACCCAAAAACCAGCTTCAACACTTATCAGCTCATGAACTGGCTCTTTTTCAACAGCTAAAACAAATATTTTTTAAACGGAAATTTCACGAATGGAAAACCAGAATCACTTGCCATGGAAATAAATACAATGATTATTAAAATGTACCCGGAGACTCTTGCCTGCTGAAGCGGCTAAGCTGGAGGCCTGTTCTCCATTTGTTAAAAGGGGAGATCAGCCAGTGTTGGGGAGGTGGTAGAGACATCCTTGCATCTAACGGAAACTTCCGTAAGAGAACCAGAAAGAATGAAAGAGGACTGAAAGAGGAATAGTGCTTTCACTGTGGCCCTCAATGGTGTTGGGTTTATTTCCAAACTTTTAATTAAAATGTGACACACATGTAGATCGTCAGTGTACAGGTCTGGATTTTCGAACTGAATACCCATGTCACCAGCACCAGATCGAGAAGCAGAACACGGCCAGACTTCTGAAAGTCCCTTTGTTCCCCTAGGACTGTCCTAGGCTTCCAGTGCTTACTGTTGTTTCATGCTACAACCCTGTACCCCTTAAACTTTCTGACATTTGTTACCCACGCTTTGGGGCATGCTGCTCGCCCTGTTATTTGGCCTTTCCCAGGCCTCTGTCTGTCTTCTCAGTCTGCATTCCAAATGCCGCTTTGTGTCCCTGCCAAGTTGCTGTGTCACTATGCACAATTGCTTTCCCTCTCTGGACCTCCTTTTGCACAATGGTGCTGGGACATTGGGCTAAAGGATGATTTCTAATGTCCCCTCCGGGCCTGACAGTGATCCATCAAGCCACGCCTCCTCCCACCCCAACGTGTCCTTTGCCAACAGACCTCTCCGGCAAGCCCAGTGTCTGGCTTTTTATGCAAGAGAGGCAGAAGGCTAGGATGCCCCTGTGCTGGTCTGCCCTATGTGTTTGATGTGAGATGTGTCCTGCACAGAGATGCATCCACACTGACACAGAGAGATGAGGAGGGGCCGGGCCGCCTTCAGGCTGGGACGGCTGCTGGCAGCCCCTGGGCCACATCTGGCCCACAGCGCTCTGCCTGTCCTGCCAGGGTTTTTGCTTTAAATTTGAAGTGAGTGGTCAGTGGGAGCAGAGTAGAGCTTGGGGGCCTCCCCTTTGGGTGGGTGGGTCTCTCCAGCCCACACTGTCCACGGCACCCATTTATACCGTCTGCCTGCTCTCATATGCATTTGAATTTGTGACCTGTGTTCTAAAGTGGTGATTTAAAAAAATAACCTGAGGCCCTTTCTTCCAATAAAGTCTTATTCCATTGGGCAATAAGAGAGACACCTTTGGCTGAAGCAGATGAGGGGTGCGGGAACCAGAACCCCCTTATTTGGCATCCTGTGCCTCCTACTGGCATCACTTCCCATATTATAGATGGGGGAATTGACTCAAGAGGGGAGAAGCGCTCTCCAGAGGTGATCCTCTCCTCTAGGAGTTTGGGTGCAGGGCGTGCATTAGCCTTGACTGTCTCATGAGGAAACTGAGGCCAGAGAGGTGGTCTGAGGCTCCCAGCTGGTCAGTGCAGGGTTTTGCCTCTGTAGCCCAGTCTGCTCCTCCTGTGCTGGCCTGAGGCTTCCGTTGCCACACACATGCCCTCTCTTTGGTTCACAGGTGGGCATTCTCTCTGGCCTCCACTTAACATTCTGGGGTCCCGGACCCTGCCTCTCTCCCCCCCAGATCAAGGCTGAAGACCCCAGTGGTGACTCAGCCCCAGCAGCACCCCCGCCCCCCCAGCCGGCTCAGCCGCATCTCCCCCAGGCCCAACTCATGTTGACAGGCAGCCAGCTCGCCGGGGTAAGTACTTGGGGAAGACCGGCACATGGGCACAGACCAGCTGCCTCCCATCCGTTACAGGCCTGGTGGCATGGGGTGTCCTGCCAGGGCCACGGCTTCTCTCATGCCTGCCTCTTGCCCTCCTCTGTCCTCCTGGAAGACTTGCCCCCTAACCTGCTCGGTTCAGGCACTAACCCCTCTCTGCCTTTTCTGCTCCTCTCCATGCCCGGCCTCCGGCCCTGCCGCCCTCCCACACAGCTCACTGCTCTGATGCCAGCTCAGCAGCAGCTCCTCCTGCAGCAAGCGCAGGCCCAGCTCCTGGCCGCCGCCGTGCAGCAGTCCAATGCCGCCGCTGCCGCTGCCGCCGCCTCCTCCTCTTCCTCGTCCTCCTCCTCCTCCTCCTCTGCCTCCTCCTCAACCTCACAGCCCCCAGCCTCCTCTGGGGGCAGCGACCTGCCACCACCACAGCCTGCCAGCCAGCCCCCAGGGACCCCACAGCTAACCCTGTCCCAGCCCATCCAGCTCACAGCACAGGTAAGGGCATCCCCCGGGGAGCACCCTCCCTCCAGCAGAGGACCCACAGAGGCCAAGAATGTGCAGGGGGTGAGCTATTCTGGCCACCGGCCACATGCCGGGCAGTTCTTAGCAACCCTGAGAAGCCTTGGGAGCTGCTGCCCCCATCTCGCAGAGGGTAAAGTAAGGTGCAGAGGGAGACATCCCCTGTGTGATGGAGTGCCTGGCTAAGTGCTTTCTATGCCTCTCACTGGGGGTTCACAGCCACCTGGGAGGTTGGTGCATTATCCTCAATTTACAGCTGAGGCAACCGGGAGGCTCCCCTGGGAACCATACTTATGTAGCTGCAGAACCAAAGGCAGAGAGACAGAGCTAGTGCCCCACATCGTGCCCCCTGACACATGCAGTGAGACGCTCTTTCAGAAAAGGGGTCCGGGATGCCTGAGTTAGGATATGCTGCATCCTCTCTTCCCAGTCTGGAGACTTCTGGGAACGAGAGGCTGTATCTATTTCCTAGGGCTGCCATGACTAAGTACCAAAAGCTGGGGGGCTTGAAACAACAGAGATTTATCGTCTAGGACCAGAAGTCCAAACAAACCAAGGTGCTGCTCTGAAGGCCCTAGGGGAGAATCCCCCCTTGTCTCCGCTAGCTTCCAGTCATGCCAGGACTCCTGGATCGCCCCAATCTCTGCCTCTGTTGTCATATGGCTGTCTTCTTTCTGTACAAATCTGTCTCTGTGTCCAAATTGCCCCTTCTTATGAAGATACCAGTCATTGGATTAGGGCCCACCCTAATTACCTCATTTTAACTTGATTACAGCTGCAAAGACCCTATTTCTAAATAAGGTCATATTTATAGTTACCAGGGATTAGAATTTCCAACATATATTTTTGGAGGACACAATTCAACCCTGTTTAACTTCCCTTAGTCCCGTGATTCCCACAACTGCTCAGCAGATGGCTTTTCTCTCTCTATCCACCCCCTTCCGGGGATGCCCTGGGGCAGAGGCTGTGTACACAGGGGAGTTGTCCGGCACCAAGAAGCTGTTCCCTTGACAGAGTTAAGCCTCCGATGAGTCAGTTGCATTACTGACCAGCACTCCCATTCGGGACTGTCCTTGTCACTGAGCTCATATCTGCCTCCTTAGAGCTTCTTGCCGCTGGGCCTGGTTCTATAGAAACACAGAGCACCGTGCTCACTGCTCTGTGACAGCTCTTCCAAACATAGCCCAGCTCACCACAGTAACTATAACTTGAATCTGGCAGGTGCTGCCTTGTGTCGGGCCCTGTGCTAATGGTGACCCCTTGAACCCACAAATCCTCACCACAGCCAAGGCTCCAAAGGGCAAAGTAACTTGCCTGCTAATACTCTGCTCACACTCAGGGCTCCTCGCTTGTCTCAAATTTTGGTGCCCTTGTTCCTGTTTCCCTTTCTACCCCTTTACCTTGGCAGCTGTCTTCATTCTTTAAGCCTCATCTTGGGAGTCCACACCTCCAGGAAGTCTTCCATGACTTATCTCCCTCCAACAGATTTGATTTCCTGCCTCCTGCCTCCTCTGGGGTCCCCCAGCCCATGCCTCTTCTTCTGCCAAGGCCCCTATCACCCAGGGCTCTATCCAGGGAGCATTCCTATATGCCTGAGGAAGTATCTGTGCAAGGAACAAAGACTTCAGGGAGGAGGAGGAACAGGGCAGTCTGTTCCAGACCCAGTCAGGCCGTCAGCCCCTGGGAGCAGCAGACATGCCTTCTGTTCATAGGCCTCTAGAACCACCTCCTGCACACTCCCCGCAGACCTGACAGCAGCAGGCCAGCCCTCTGCCACCTGCTGTCCTGACCAGGTCCTGATTCTCAAGGTCTCTTTGAACCCTGCCTGCAAAGCCTTTCGTCTCCCTCCTCCTGCTCGGCTTCCCTCAGCTCTGATCTGCCCCTGTGTATCCTCTGCAAGTGCAAAGCTGGGCCAAGTTTGTTTTTCTGTTACACGGTCACCCTGTAACCTCATTTGCCCAGCAGACAAACATTTATCCAATACCGCCTGTGTGCCAGACGCCATGCTGGTGCAGGCTGCGGTGGGACTACCTTCTTCCTGCCTTAACTGCCCACTGCAGCCACAGCTGTCCTGGCCCCTGGGCTTGACCCCTCTCCTCAGCCTGTCTGCTGTGCCCATCCACTTCCCATGCCTGCTCAGCTCTGTCCTACAGTCATTTCACAGACATTTCCTGGCATCCTGTGTGTCGGGCCCTGGTGGGAAGCTGAAGACTTAGAAGTGACTCAGACCCATGCTTGTCTCTGTTCTTGTAGGGAACAGATACACCAATGAACCACTGAGAAATGCTTTACTTGAAAAATACTAAGAAAGTCAAAAGCACCCATAATCCTATCACTTTACATTTATATAAAGTATAAGGGAAAGTCCCCCATCCATCCCTTTAACTCAGCTTCCAAAGTAGTGTTGCTTAAACAGTTTGGCAGGAACCTTCCCTGCATTTTCCTAGCTTGTACAGAAAAAGGAAATGATTATAACACAGTTTTGACATGTATGTCCAACACTCAGCCCAGTGCGGCATGGGGGTTGCATGCATGTTTGCTGAATCAATAGGGGGTTTTGTTGCAGCTTTTCAATCAAGGGTTGGGAAGACACCTCTCCAGGGGAGTAATTCAGAATGTCTGGGATGGGGTAGGCATTGATTGAAAATACACATTAACTATTAAAACATTATTTTGTATTTGGAGAGTGAAAAAAGAAGCCCCTATTTTCTTAATATGAGCATGGCAGATATAACTTGACAAAATCTTTTAGACTGGTAGGACCCAGTGAATAAAGGTTTCCTAGAGAAGCCTATGCTTTGTGGTGGGAATATGGGAAAAGAGAGGGGACCTGTGTCTGAGGGAGTCAGGAAAGGCTTCCTGAGGGAGGTGGTAATATGAGCCAAGGGATGACAAGTGGTAGTTTGCCAGGTGGATGAGCTGAGAAAGGGGTTCTGGGCACAGGAATGGCAAATATGAAGTGAGAGCAGGATGGGCTCAGGGAGTTGGGGGGCGGGAGCTGGTGATGGAAGACAACGAAGATGAGCCAGGAGAATGTTGGTTGGGTCAAGCTCCACTCCAGGTGGCCAAAGAAGAAAAGGCAATATTTGGCTCATATCACTGAAGAGGCCCAGCCTGGAGCATCAGGCCTGGCCCCAGGAATCTGTCTCCCTTTACATTCTGGGGAAGGCAAAATGGGTGACTTGCAGCCACCCTGACCAGAGAGATAAAACATGCCCACTGGCCAGGTTTGAGTCAGTGCCTCCAATCTCTGAGCAGTCGGGGTCAGCCTCACCTAGACCGTGTGACCTGAAAGTGGGGAGGGCGAGTCCCCAAGAGGAAGAGATGGATCCTGTTGCCTGAAGAAGGGGCACTGAGTACCAGGCCAGCCGAATCAGCCCCCTGGAGGTGTGTTGGCCGTGCACCCACATGCCCCTGAAGTCCAGAAACGGGCCGAGGCATACCAGTCACTCCATGGCTCCTGTGCTGGGGTCTGCTGTTGCCTGTCTATCCCAGAACTTTAGCACGAGGTAGCGTGGGAGTAATGTTGAATGGTTCTCTTCTGCGGTGTTCTGCCCCGATTGCTGGGACTTCTTTGGCTCCCTGTGGCAGGACCAACCTCTTGGGAACAGGGGTGTATACAAGAGCCCATGCTAGAGACAGGCCTCTTCTGCCCACCCCCAACCTTTAGAACTTCCCTGGGGGAGTGACTGGAATAATCATCGTCATTTATTCATTCAATTAACATTTATTGAGTACGTTGTGTATGACAGGTGCCCATTAATGGCCCTGAGGGGGCAGCTGTCAACAAGGCAGGGGTGGCTGCTCTTGATGACCTTACGTCCTAGTGGAGAGACAGATAGTAACAAGTACACAAACCAGCAAAACAAGACAGTTTTAGAGTGAGTGTAATGAAGAAAATGAAACAGGAGTCATCATAGAGAGGGGAAGCCGTGTAATGGGGCTGTCAGGAAAATTTCCACTAAGAAAGTGGCCTTGAAGAGCCAAGGCCTCAATGAGTCAGTCATGAAGAGCCAGAGGTAGTGGTTAGGAAAAAGTAACAGCAAGTGCAAAGGTCCCAAGGCAGATGCCAGCCTCACTTGTTCAGGGCACAGAAGAAGGTCGTATGGCTGGAACAGAGCAAGTGAGAGGCGAGGGGGAGGCAGGCAGGACCAGGTTTTACAGGGCCTGTAGGATAGATCAAGGAGTTTGGAATATATGCTAGGTATGATGAAAAGCTGTTGGGGGACTTTAAACAGGCAAGTGGCATGACCTAACTGACCCCTTACAGAGCTCTCTCTGGCTGCCAATGGGAGATGGATGCTGGGGATGGGAGTAGAAGTGAGGAGCCCAGTGGGAAGAAGGCCTTGCAAACATCCAGGTGGGACATGAAGGGTGTGTGTGTGTGGGGTACAGGATTTTGTATGGATTGTATAGATTAAGGATGCCTTCTGGGATTTTGGCTTCATCACCTGGTCGGTGGG